AAGCCAAATAGATTCAGTTCTCCTAGTCTGTCCCACTCTGCTTTGTACTTCAATGCTTTCTTGCAGCACAAAGAGCAGAACTGAACACCATATTCTTAGCGAGGTCAAAGCAATGGACTGAATCACAGTACCATTGACTTCCTGATGAGCAGTTGGCAATCCCAAACTGGGAGAGAACGAACCAGAAAAATCATTGACATCTCCAGATTATGCCCTGTGATGGACTGGCATCCCATCCAGGGTGTATCCCACCCCATGCCTGTTGCTTGCCAGGTTAGGCTCTGGCTTCCCCATGACCCTGAATTGGATGATGGATTGTCCTGAAAATGGATGGATGGATTTCAAATTAAAGAACAGATTAAAACCTCAAAACCTCTATTGCCTTCGTAGGGCTGGATCGGTCCATGCTTGGACTATCCCAGTTAGTTCCATCCCCCTGACTGTAGAGGTTTCGCAGCAGCCAGGGCTATGGGTTTACCAGATGGCCTTTTCTTGGCAACTCTTGAGCAGTAACACCAGCAGTGCCCTCTTCCCCCCTCCTTGCTCCCCCACAGCCGACCCGGGACGACCGTGGCTGGATCATGAATCCTATCGGCCCCAACCCTTGGTGGACAGTGGTGGTGGCACCGATCCCTGCGCTGCTCTGCACCATCCTGATCTTCATGGACCAGCAGATCACCGCCGTCATCATCAACCGCAAGGAGCACAAGCTGCTGGTAGGGTGGATGATCTGGTTGAGGGGGCGGGGTGATGGGTGGGGTCATATCTGTAACTGATCTGACCTGAAAGGGTTGAGAAGACAGAATGATAGGGATCCCAGCTGCATCAACCAGAATGAGCATCCATTCAAAAACCCATCTCAATGTGCCTATCATGTGCAGGTGGTGTCACACCAGTGGTAGGAGTTGCCCAGCCAGGATTGACAGATCAGGGATCTCTATGACATGCCTGATACCTGCAGGCCTACAGTGACTTCTGTTCCATTTGTAATGTTTTCTAAGGGGTGCACTTTCTTCTGCATGAGGGCTTCCCTCCCACCTGCTGCACGTGTCTACATGGTGGGCGGTACCAGCCTGTGCTCGTGAGCTGGAGCTCTGTCTCTCTCCTCCCTGTTCCTGCAGAAGGGCTGCGGTTATCATCTGGACCTGCTGATGGTGGGGTTCATGCTGGGCATCTGCTCCATCATGGGTCTGCCCTGGTTCGTGGCGGCCACCGTCCTGTCCATCTCCCACGTCAACAGCCTGAAGCTGGAGTCGGAGTGCTCGGCACCGGGAGAGCAGCCCAAGTTTTTGGGCATCCGGGAGCAGCGGCTCACTGGGCTCCTGATCTTCGTGCTGATGGGCTGTTCTGTCTTCATGACCGGGGCTCTGCAGGTGGGGCCCCACACTGCCTCCCTCCTCTCCCTGCTCCCCCTGGTCTCCTCCTCTCTCCCAGCTCCCCTGGTCTCTACCTCTCCCTGCTCTCCACCTCTCTCTGGTCTCCTCCTCTCTCCAAGCTCCCCTGGTCTCTACCTCTCTCTGCTCTCCTCCTCTCTCCCAGCTCCCCTGGTCTCTACCTCTCTTTGCTCCCCTCCTCTCTCTCTGCTCCCTCTGGTCTCCTCCTCTCTCCCTGCTCCCCCTGGTCTCCTCCTCTCTCCCTGCTCCTACTGGTCTCCTCCTCTCTCCCAGCTCCCTCCGGTCTCCTCCTCTCCCCTTGCTCCATCTGGTCTCCTCTCCCCTCTCTGCTCCCCCTGGCTGTTAGGTACTCTAACATGTCCAGCATTTGTTCCTTACAACTGTAACTCCCAGTCTAGGTTTTCAAAGAGTGCACACAGACATGCACACACAGGTGCTAATTTGATGTGCTCCAGTCCTAACCAGCCTCTTTTGTCTTTCTGTGTGTCTATGTGTCTGCAGTTCATCCCCATGCCAGTGTTGTACGGAGTGTTCCTCTACATGGGTGCCTCATCTCTAAAGGGAATTCAGGTATGGTGTGGACAGCAGGACTGGACTGATGTCAAGACTGCAGTTACTGTACCTGGAGGACAGAGCCTGCTGGGGTGTCTCACAGTCACAGCTTTGGGCACAGTGACACAGGGCATGCTGTCCTGTTGAAGCTTGCCAGGGAGATGTGCTGCTTCCAAAATTATTCTTGGAAAAAAAATAGGTTTTAACCCGACCAAACTGGAACAGTTAAATGTGTGTTCTTCAAGTCTCACAGCTGCAAACTCCATTACCGCACACACAGGAGAGTGAGAAACTGAAGGCCCACCCTCCAGTCACATGTCACAGATAGCCCTATCCCATTCATGCATAATCATCACTGATTGGAGAACAGACATGCCCCTCACAGGCAGCACTGCCCTGTACTGGAGGATGTGTGATGATTGGAGGAGAGACATGTCACTCACAGGCAGCACTGCCCCATACTGGAGGGTGAGTGCTGATTGGAGGAGAAGCACATCCCTCATAGGCAGCACGACATGCCTGCAGAGGGTCACTGAGTGCCGAGAGAGCTCTGGCTGACTAACAATACCATACCCACTAAACCAAACCCCTGAAACAATGTAACCACAGCTCAAACCAGTGACCTTTGCCCTGGTGCTGGGGAATCCCTGTCCTTCTGGTTATTGTTGGTGTCCTAAATCAGCAGAGAAACTCCTACTGGTGGATCCTACTAAGGTGATCCACACAGGGGAACCCTACTTCAGTCTTTAGATTACAGGGGTTTATGTCTATTAATTGTGCAACACATGGACACATTCTTCAGAGGTGTCTATTAGGAACATCCAGGGTAGTAGTAGTAATAATAAAAGTGATGATGAGCTTGAGGGATGAAGAGGAGACCACTATGACAAACAAAGGTTGTGAGGTGGGGAGTAGGAAGATAGTAAGTCAGACAGGAACTGAGGTGCCAAGCCGTGTAGAGCCTTACAGGTGATCATAAGAACATGAGAAGTCTTTTACAAATGAGGAGAAGCTGTTCGACCTAGCTGGATCTTTTAGTATGGTAGTTAATTGATCTAAGGGTCTCATTCTGCTATTTCTTAAAAGAAAGCAGGGTATCGGCTTAAACCACGTGACTGGATGGCTTGTTCCACGCTCCTACTGCTCTTGCTCTACTGCTCATTCTGAAGAGCTGAGTCGGCTCCGTTAATCCTTTGAGGATTTTCACTACTTGGATCAGGTCCCCTCATCTTCTTTTCTGCTCAGGACTAAAAAGGCTTTGTTCCCTCTGCCTGCCAGGGCCAGTTGTCCCGGGTCCGAGCTCGGGAAGCTCCAGGCTCTGGGAAGGTGCTTGCCATTTTTTTAAGGCCTGGGAATGTTTTCTTGTATTTCGCGCGCCTCTAAGGGAAGCCGGTCGCACTGATCTCTCCTCTCTCGCAGTTCTTCGACCGCCTGAAGCTCTTCGGCATGCCGCCGAAGCACCAGCCGGACTTCATCTACCTGCGCCACGTGCCCCTGAGGAAGGTGCACCTGTTCACCCTGATCCAGCTCACCTGCCTGGTCCTCCTGTGGGTCATCAAGACCTCGCCGGCCGCCATCGTCTTCCCCATGATGGTGCTGGCCCTGGTGTTCATCCGCAAGCTCATGGACCTCTGCTTCTCCAAGCGCGAGCTCAGCTGGCTGGACGACCTGATGCCCGAGAGCAAGAAGAAGAAGCTGGACGACGCCACCAAGAAGGCGAAGGCCGAGGAGGTGCCGACCTTTCAAGTCCTGCCATTTCACAGCATCTCGCGAGCGTGGCCGCTAACGAGCGCATCCAAACGAGAGGAGGCCGCTCTGCCCCCCCCTAGCTCATTTGGCTGCTAGTAGTTAACTGGTCCCAGGATCTCATCCCGCAGTTCCTCTGAAGGAAGCCAGGGTGATGGTTGGGCAGTTTGTTCCAGGCTCCCACCGCTCTTTGTGTAAAGGCTCCTGAATTTGTCTATGAGCCACAGCACGTCGCTGGAGAGAACTGAATGGTGGAATGGGGTTGGTTGAGGTTCCTTATTGTATAAGGAATGAAGAATGTGTACAGTGCTATAAATAGATAGAGCAGTGGTGTACAACTTCTACTGTCAAAAAGTTTTTACTGGCCCCTCTAATCCCCTAGCAGCTGGTAAGCACAGTAATGACTTCAATTGTCTAAATCAAGCTTAAAAGGCATAATTTCAGTCATGTAATTAACAGATAAGACAGAATTAAAAACAGAAGACAAGGCAGACCTGGAAGAATGGGGGCTTGTCACACTGACACAGCGAGATTAACAGCCTTTACAGCAAAAGAAAGCTCCAAAGCTGAAATGTATTTCTTTTCTTCTCTTTTCAGCATGGAATAAACCTTTACTTGTTCCTGGGTCGTATTGCCCATTTCGATATAGGGAGTGAAAAGTGTAATTTGCTGCCACCTAGTGGAGAGAGAACCAAACTACATGTTCTGTTTTCAGTTTTAATCAAGATGAAACACCCCAGGAACAGAGACAAAGAGGCACTTGTCAGTAAAAATTGGATTTTAAAATTGCCCTTAAATGGGAAGGCTGAGACCTGTTGCTTATTTACTCTGTGGAGACATAGCAATGATTGAAACATATCACAAATTTATAACATATATACCCTAAACATCATTTTATGGGTGGCTGCTTTTTAAATTTGTTAATGATTAAATGATGAAGCAGCTTTTGCTTCTACAAAATATTAACATGACCATTAACCGTCAACATTCAGCTCAATAAAGGTGAAATGCATAATTGCCATATTAATTTCATTTGCTCTAAAGGCACAGTTATGCCCTGTTCATCTCTGGTGAATATGGAGAGACCCTATCCTTATATTGTACAATGGCAGAAAGCGTTCTGTAGTTTCGTATGGATGATGCCTGATGAGTCTGCTAACCCATGTGACACACATTTGGAGTTACTCTCACTGTCGGGGTGTCTCCCTCAGGAGTCCGAGAAGATGCTGGATCACGGGGAGGATAAGGTGGTGCAGATCCCCATGGAGAGCAGCCAGCTCCTGCACAGCCCCCAGAAGAAGAGCAACAGCTCCAGGTGAGCAGGGATCGAAGTGGGAGGGGGCTGCACTGACTGCCCCCCTCTGACCCCCCCACTGATACACACCAGCATAATGCCCCCGCTCCCTGCCCCTCCCCTCCAAGGTCACCATTAATATAAACAGATCTGGGATTCTGAGCTCACCAAGTTTCTGTCCACCACCTAATTTATAGAGAAGGTAGTCTGATTCACACCAGATTGCACAGCCGTTTAATCCAATCCAGGGTATAGCTAACTCTCTGATGTCCTTGAGGATGGAAGACCAGAGTAGGTGAATGAAGGCTGTGAGGTGGGGAGTAAACAGATAAAAAGTCAGTCAGGAACCGAGGTGCCAAGCCATGTAGAGCCTTATAGGTGAGCATGAGGATTTTGAAGTCGACCTGAAACCTGACAGGAAGCCAGTGCGAGGGCTCCAGGACAGGAGTGATGTGATCACCTGCAAGCAACCTGGCCAGGATTCTGGCTGCTGAATTCGGAAAATAATGGAGTTTGTTCAGTGTGGATTTAGATCAGTTTTTCATGACCAGCTTTTCAGCGTCAGTCAGAGACAACATAATATCACCAGATTACATCCTATGTAGGTGATGGGAGGTGCTGAGCAGCCTGAGCTCAGTCTTATTGCAGTTCAAGTGAAGGAAATTTTTTAGTCATCCAGGTTTATATATAAGAGAATCACAAAAACAGCCTGAAAGCAATTCAGCAAGTCAACTATACTGGCAGAATGTCCACAAACTCCTTCATCAGTGAGTGCTCTTGTGCTCCCTAATAACAAATTGTTGGCGATCACTAACATTTTAGTTTATAATCATATAAAAAAGAAAATATTAACACCACTGAGACCTCAGTATAATAATGCAGTGATAAAAAGAGAAGGCGGCTGATTGTAATTAATGCTGATGATTTTAATTGTAGCAGGTCTTCACAGTATAGTTCAATAACAGCTGTTGTTAGTAAAGGCAGAGAAACTTTGGGCTAAGTAACAACTAGTGCAGGATGAAACTGTACCAGAGACAAACACTCTCACAGAAACTCCACACACACAAACGCAAATTAAAATCATGCACATACTGTATACACAATCACACACAAAACCTTTACACACATTCAGACATATACATAGACAAACACACAGAAAACCGTGCACATAAGCACAACCTCCGCTCCACACACAAAATCAAGCACATCCACTCTAAAGTCCATCACCACACACGTAACACACACACAGGTACAGTATACACATACATCAGGGCAGGCAGTAAGTATAGAAAGGTGAAAGAGTTGTGGAAGCGAGTCCTTCAGCACAGAACTAACATACCGCCCACCCCTGCATGAACAGAGGGGGTCAGGGGTGCAGCCCTGTCCCCGTGCTCTGTTTGTGGACTTCAGCCCCTGGCAGACCTGCCCCTGTGCCTGTCCTGCTCTGCATGGCCCGCTCTCCCTGGTGTTACAATGTGACGTTCTGTTCTAGGTGTGACCCATCAGACATTAATATCTCTGACGAAATGTCTAAAACAACAGTGTGGAAAGCTCTCAGTATGACCCCTGACAGCTCAGATCTCAAGGACGACCCCGTTTCCACCAAAAAGGCAAGGGCACCTCCTCCTCACCACTCACCCTGCAAGAAACCCAAACCCTCACAGAGGCCACGTTTCTCTTCTTCAGCTCTCTCCTCCCGATTCCTGCCTCTCTCACACTCTGCATCCCTAAGCTTCATCCCGTTTATCCTTTACTCCCGTTTTTTCCTTTGGACTTATTTCTACTCTGGGACCTGCAGTCTCCCCCCAAAGCCAGGCTGTGAGGTCCTGATTTTTTAATATGGCAGATGAATACAATGAGGGGGGCGTGTCACAGGGCGAAGGGCTCTGACCGGGGGGCGTGTCAGAGGGCGTGTCCATAACCTCTGTACCCCCTCCCACTCCAGTCCTACTGGAGTACTTAACCTTTGAGCCAAGTCTCAATTGGCCATTCCAGAGTTTTTAAGTCTAAAGATTTTCAACGCGTGTTGAAATAGCCTTTATTACAGAGTTAGTCAGCCTTTAAAAAAAGGCCTCCACACAGACAACTGACCCACAAGGAACCTGCTTCTGGGGGAGAGTGTCACCTCGATTCTCAGCTGGTCCCCCTCTGCTGTTGTGTGCTGGTGAAAGCGACAAACGCGGCTCCGCTCTTCGCTGTCCAGTGGCCAAACACAGTGCCGAAGGGAGAAACGTTTGGAAACGATGGCTGTCGTTACTGATCCTTCTCGTACCGTGGGACCTTTGCAGCTCCGAACGGGAACGCTCACTGCAGCTTCCTGAACTTTGCATCATCGCCGTGCCCAGATCGCACGCTTGCGGACGCAGGTTTCTAAAGCGGGCAGGAGGCGTCCACGTTATTACAGAATAGTTCACAACTAAACGAAAATAAAAAAAAGAAAAACTACCAATACACCGTACAGATCTTAGGTTACAAATACCGAGAGTACAGACAGGTCTGAATGTGGATGAAATAAGCAGCATTTTAACAGGTCGAGACGGCACAGTCAATGGCGTGCACCACTGGAAGGCGAGATACAGCTTGCTGAGAGCTGTACATAAAGCCATGATCACCATAAATATATGGGGAATAATTTTGCAGCACTACACAAAGCTCATGCAGAGCTTGTCTTGTTCAGTAGGCCGCCGCACTGCCCGCTTTGGAAATGGCGCTCCCTTGAACACACCCATCCAGCACGCATTCTGTGGGAAACCATGCGGCAGCGTCCCTCACCGCCTTCCGGCGGGGTTTCACAAGTCTCGCTGGGCGATCTCGATGCCCCACACCCCACCCAGCTCATGCGCGCTCGCACTAACTCCTGCTTCCCGGATCAGAGCGGGAAGGAGCTCACAGCCTGCCCGCGTGCCTTGTCTAAAAATCTTTCATTCATGTGGTAGAAATATTTCTTATTGGTCTAACCCCTTGCAAACGCTCTAAATATTTTTGGGAGACAGGTGTAAACACAAAAACAACGGGCTCCATTTTATTCTTGTCGTTATAAGCGAAGGTACAAACAAGCTCTAAGTCCCAGCCTACATGTATATGATGCTGTACCTCTGTTATTGTCAGAGGTTAGTAAGCCAACACCTCTTAATCATTTTAATAGTCATGTAAACCAACATTACCGTCTTAGCGTCCAACAAGAGATAGTCTCTTTGCAAGAGAGGAGATTTGCCAGCGCATACACATTCCCTGGGGGGCTAAATTTTACACACCTGTACGAGCCCTTTAGCGCAAGCGAAGTCCCCCGAGAAGCATTGCACGACTGGCTGCCTAAGGCGTGTGTCAGTCGGCGCTCTCTGCTGCCGGGCGCAGGAAAATGACGAAGGCTCTAACGGGTGGGCGTGGCTGCAGGTTCACGTTCTCTTCGTTCTCAGGAGTCTGAACCGAGACCTCAGAATCTGACTATTCCGAGTGGACAACAAAATTGCGTTCAATTAATGATTTAAAAAAACAGACGACACAGTAGCCCTCAAGGACAGGAGCTGAGGGATGCTGCCCTAGGGAGAAACAACTGTTTTGACTCTTGTCTCCAGCAGATAAGAACAAAGTTGAAACTCTTGTCAGTTGTGCGGACTTCATTTTCCCAGAGTTCCACTCTGCACCTTGTTCCACACCTGTGTAGTGACTCTAGCTGTGTCTGTTTGTTTGTGTGTGTGTGTCTGTCTGTTTGTTCTCTGGTGTTTCTTCCGCAGGAATGACAGTAACTGAAGTGCGGAGCTGTGTCGGGACCCCCCCGAGGCAGGGGGACTCAGGGACAAGAGGAGCTCGGCTCAGACAGTCTCAGCCAGGATGGTCAACAGCAGGGATGACCCCCCTCTCCCCCCCTACCCAACCTCCACACCATGATCTTTGGATTAACATCTTTACTACCCTACCCTTCCCCAACTGACCCCCCCGCCTTATCTCTAAATTTATCCACTTTTCCTCTTCTGGGTGGGGGAGTGGGAGGTCCTCATCACCCCAGACAGAGTGGGACTGAGGTGCAGTTCTACACTCAGTCCTTCGAACCCAGAGCCAGGCGCATGCGGTCAGGCCATCACAGTGACATCCCATCGCTGATCAAATGGCAAAAAATATACTGGTAACATTAGGATTGTGTTTGTTCCATGAGAAACTGAACAGGAACACAATGGCACCCTTTTCCAGGTTATTATTTTTCTATGTATATATTTATACTTATTATTTATTCTGTTTCAAGATGTTTTAATTTCTTAACAACTGCTAGCAGTAGTCCAGCAGTTTTTTTCTTTATTATGTTGTTGTCAGCACAAGCGTGTTTATAGTATTTATATTTTTGTTTATTTTTTATTTATTTAAATGAACTTTAAATGGAATCAATAACTCATACAGTACGAAGGTGTCATCATATTTACCATGGGACTTTACAGTCACTGTTGTCTGTTTTGTGCAGTGTAAACCAGTAACGTATCCTTTAAGCAAAATACTGTAGATGGGGATGAAAGACTATCTGTGAGGCAACAGGTTCAGGGAATCTCCAGTAATCTAACCCTAAAGCTGGACTGTCTCTGGAGCAGAAGACCTGGGGTAACCTGCCTTTGGAGCAGGTTATCTGTGGCCATGTCCACCACCACAAGTCTTTCTTGCAGCTATTCCTCTTTTTTTTTTTTCAACAAATCAGTGGCAGGGTCAATTAAGAAACTTGCAATTAAGCAATTAAACATTTAAGCAATTAAGCAATTAAGCATGCACACACACTTTGCAGGTACAATACACATCCTGTACTGTAGTCTTGAGAAAGCAATATCTGCTGAGCAGATTTTATGTCCAATAGTCAGACCCATAGTGGTGAGGTAGTGTGGAAGGGTGGTGATGCAACAGTGTGGAGTGGTGGTGAGGCAGCAATGAGGTTGGTGGTGAGGCAGCAGTTTGGGGGGTGGTGAGGCAG